AAAAGAGAGAGATGCTCTTTGATTCGGTTAGATTAGTGGCATAGTTTAAATTTAGCAACTACAGATGACCAGCCGATGTTTGCATCATTCATCTGGTATCTGCCATGCACCGGGCTCGTCGACCCATACAACCTGCCATTGTATTTTTCAAATTCTGAAATGATTACCATGATGAGTTGTAGCATCTCATATGCCATGTTTAGAAAAGCCGAAGCCTGCTATACGTATGCATTTTGCATGTGTCTCCATAGGCATTTCTGTATACCTTAGATCATCGCCCCAATGGGAATTTTTAATAAGTTCTGTTTTGGCTTGGAGACTCCGGTAAGCTTTATGCTACCTAACGCATCCTTGCAGTGTGTGAGTGACTGCCATGATACGCATGTTACCACTGACGCTCATGGTGCTTATCATGATATAACTGCTGAATCGCCCTGTGGGTGAAGGTTGGGTATACTGTTTTAATCTGGATATAAAATCATCAACTATTGTTTTAGCCCACATCAGATAGGTTGGCAAAACCATCTTTTCTAAGCCACCCGATGGTGGCAAAAATCTGCATCTTTAACGCCTACATTGCGAGTAGCAAACCATCTTTCAAAAAACAAACATGAAATGTTGTTGTCAATTCAGGCGACTCAGTCTATACTTGTATGCTGTGCGATGCACATAGTAACTAGGCTAATAACCGGAATATAGGAACATTCACAACCGTTTTCAAACTGATTCATGGTTAGTAGAGGCCGATCTTGATCGCGCGGCGGGGTCTCACGAAGTGACCTTCCCTAATCGTACCCAAGTTCCCGAGCCGAGGCAACTTTGGTGATGACGGACACGTGGCCTTTTGGCACCGAGTCAGGGTTTCCTAAATTTCCCCAAAATAAAATATTTAGGTGGCGACTTTGTATCTGGCAAAGCAGTCCATGTTTGGCACTTCTTTCAAAAAAATCTGTTTTTCTCAAAACGATTTGCCGGATTTGGACTCTTTGGTTCAGACTTAGAACCGTGACTACGAAATCGAGTCCGAGCTGTAGCGAGGTCCCCCGCGGGCTGGTTACAGTGATCTAATGCATCAGTGGCCGGTAGGCCACCATTCATGGTTGACAGTGCACTATAGATGGCCAGCAGGCCACCTTCATGGCCGGCAGATGGCTGACAGTGTTTACCAGTGGCCGACTAGCCACTGATGCAAACCTCAGCAAAGAATTAGTAAGGTGGGGCAAATTGGTTCTGGAAATTTTTAAAATCTGCAAACAGAGACTTTCGAGAGTAGAACATAGGTCTTTTTTGGTGGCATCTGAGCATGTGCATCTTTTATTTCCTGAGGCGGAGTAATGGCAGTGTAGTTATAGGTTTTAATTACTTAGCTTACTTACATTTGTGTTGTTACTTAATTTGATTAGCTTACTAGTTAGTTAAATTAAGAGTGTTGTAATAATTAGTTAATTAGTTTAGCTATTTACTTCGTTTGGATTGTAATAATTAGCTTAGCTTCAATTAGTTGCTGGTTAGTTAGTTTTTATTCATTTGGACTCTCCTTTGTGAGAGCAAAATGTAATAACGTGTATGTCTTCCAACCCCACGTCCTTCTCCCTTTTACTTAACCGTTTTCGATGGTTAGTTTAAGAACGTCATATTTCAATTAGCATACCTTATGCTTGCATCCATTCATCTTGTCTTACATGCACCGAGGCTCAGCGCATCATTCAAACTGCATTGCCATTTTAATACATTTCTTTGAATATGTGCTTAGACCGCATGTCTTGGATTGATTTATATGCCATATTAGTAGTCGAGCCTAGTAATTGCATTTTGCATGTGTTGCATTAGACATCTTGTATAGTTAGGAACATGCATATTTTTTTTTCTAACTCATATCTTCTTAGCTTGGAGTACTAGGTGAGTTTTTAATGCTTTAGCATACTTGTATGAGTGTGAGTGATTGCCATGTCTAATATGCTTGCCATGAGGCTAAATGCTTAAGTGATAAATTGTATGAATGCATGTGGATGAAGGCTTGTTGTTTGAATTGGAATGATTCAACGAATGTAAGTTTTAAGCCTACTTTGTTGAATGGCAAATTAGTTTTAAGCCCACTTGTTTGGTGGCAAATTTGCAAACTTTAAGCCGACTTGAGATGGCAAAATTCAATCCCTTTTTGCAAACAAACATGAACTTGAATCGTTCCAAATTGAGCAAACTAGTCTATACTTGTTTGTACGCATCACATAGTAATGCTAGTTTAATAACCGGAATAAGAGCACATAATGTTTATAAAAAATCATATCATGATTAGTAGAGGCCGATCTTTGATCGGGCGAGCGGGGGTGCTCAATTTATGACCTTCCTCTCTCGTACCTAAGTTCCTGAGCCGAGGTAACTTTGGTGATGACGGACACATGGCCTTTGGCACGAGTCATGGGTTTCCTAAATTTTTTCAAAATAAAATATTTAGGTGGCGACTCTGTATCTGACAAAGCAGTCCAATTTTGGCATTTCTGATTCAAAATCAAATTTTCAAACGATTTGTCGGATTTGGACTCTTTGGTGTTTATTAATTTCACATTGCACTTGTGAGATTAGATTCAGAACCGCGAGAGTCCGAACTATAGGGCTTTCTTTCAAACTTCTGAAAGGGGGCACGAAAAAGCCGAGCTACAAGTACGGAAGCAAATCCTCAAAACAAAACTCTCAGTTAACTCAAATAGGAGCAAGAAAACTCCTAACAGAAAAAGTTAGAGACAATGCCCCGATACAAAAATCTCACTGTAACGACCCCACCACGTATAATAATTAGCACTTAATTAATTAAGTAGGTTTGAAATTTAATTACCAATTATTCCAATTCAATATGGGATTTACGAAAATTATGGAGATTGATTCATATATGATTCTATTAAAGATTTATTTTGAAATTAGAAATTAAGGGTCCAAATGGCTTAAGGGTGCAAAATTGAGAAGTTGAATCAATTTGATTTTAATTACGAACCTATTTGAGAGTTTAATTAAATATTCGATTCAGTTTAGTAAAATTGAGATTCGATTAATTAGATCTTAATTGGAGTTAATTACGTTAATTAAATTATAAAGATTGAAAATTGTGATTATTACGAATTATTTATTTATGGGGTGTCCAATTTGAATATGTAATTTACTTGACGGAAATTTAGAGTCTGATTAGAAATTGAAGGCCTCAATGATTTGAGGAATCAAAATTGACGATGACAATAAATTTAATTAATATTTGGAGCCGTTTGGGAGTTTGATTAGAAATTTGATTCAGAATGATAAAAATTAAATATAATTAATTGGGCCTTAATTGAAGCTAATTTGACTAATTAAATTATGTGAAACTTGTGATTAGATATGATTAATTAAATTATGATCAAGATTATCTCAAATGATGTGGTGATTAATTAAGCTAACGGATAATCAGTGTAATGATCTAATCAAGTTAATTAAATAAGATGAGAGAATTGGAGTATTCTAGAAATATGGGAAATGAGAAAGAGAGCTTATTACCTATACATGCAATGTAGTCACCTCTGCTGGAGCAAAATCGTGGGCCTAAACAAAACAAAACAAAAAAAAAAGGGGGGAGAAAAGAAAGTGGAATAAAGGAAATGAGTGTAAGCTATACATCATCTATGTTTATGCTTTTGGCTGTAGCAAGAACAGCCGAGTGAGAGGGAAAGAAAACCGTGAGTGAGAGAGAGAAAAGAGAGCTCAACTTTTAAAGAAGGAAACCCAAAGTTGTGCTGGAAATTGTAAAGGAAGAAGAAGACTCAAGGGGGAAATCATCAATAATCTTTGAAATTAGAGCTTGAGGTATGAAAATTATACTTAATTTATGTAGAATCTTCATATCACACTTGAAATTAAGAAACTTATGAATCAATCTCATGGATTTTGTAAGAAGTTGGGTTAGGTTCATGCGCATGGATAATAAATTTAGAAATTAATAATTTGAGTGTGATTTTGTAGTCATGCATGAGATTAAGTTTCATTGTTACATGCATGAGCAAATTTATAAGTTTTAATACTCTCATCTTGGATTTTGAAGAGTTTGAGATAATCCCATGTTTGGAAGATAAATGAGGTTTTAATTTTAAATCTCTAACCCATGCATGTAATCTAATGAAAGAGTTTTATTCAAAATTTAAATATGTTATGGAACATCTATGATTATGAATTAAGTTTTGGATGTGTTATGAAGAAAATTAATTAAATCTAAATTTGGCTAAATCAAGAATTAAATTATGATTTGATTTTGAATATAGAAAATTAGTTAGTTTTAATCTTAAATTCATACATGCAAATACTTTCCTAAGAGTCATATAGCTTCAATTTCATGTAAATTAAAAGGAATTAGTAAAAGGGTGAAGAAATTGAATTAGATTCAAAATTATATAAGTTAATTTGGAAATAACCATTTTTGGGTGTGAATTTATTTGTCTTACATGAAATTGAGTTTCAATTGCACATGCATCATGAATTTGCAAGAGTTTTGGAAGTTTAATTCATGTTTTAAAATTTGTGGATTTGAAATTGGGTTTGACATGGAGAAAATGAGTTAAAACTAAATTTGGACAATTGGAGCATGATTTTGAATGAATGATTTCTAATTGAGGGTGTTTACTAAATTATACAATTGTTCTCCATATTTTTGTACAAAAAATACAAGTTTTGAGGCTTTAAATATCAAATTTGAACTTCAATGACAATTTTGGAAATTCTAGAATTCACACTGTCCGCTTGAGCGAGGAAAGTCTCGCTCGAGCGTGAAAGTCGAGCTCCCAGAAGTGTTTCAAAATTTTACAGTCCACTCGAGCGACCAAAGTGGCGCTCGAGCGAGGACCCTATTTTCAGCAATTTTTAACTAACTCTTTTAAATGCATAATTGCATCCTTATGACATTCTAAGCATTCTTAAGCACCAATTGGACTCTCATAGTCATGGAATAAACTAGAAACACATAAAGAGAGTTGTATCAAAATGAAATGAATATTGAATGGTGCTTCTATTGTGTTTTTGTTATGTGATTTATTTAGGTGGGCATCCGAGGCCTTATATCAACTTAACCCACTGTGAGTAATAACTCTGTAAAGTTATGTTAACTTTAATTATTTTCTGATGATATGAAATGATTAGTTTTCTAAAAGGTTATGTTTTGTATGAATGAATGATTGTCCAATTTTCTTTGAAACGTAATTGTGGTATCCTTAGCAAAGGCCTTTGCCCAGGGGACATAATACTGTGGCTTATGGTCATGAGGCCCTAGCTCGGGGGAAAGAATACCGTGGCCCAGGCCCTCGCTCAGGAAAAATAATACCGTGGCCGAGGCCCTCACACGGGGGAAACAATATCGTGGCACAGGCCCTCACCCGAGGGAAATAATACCGTGGCCGATGTATGGGATATGTTACCTGGTACCGAAGGTTCCATTATGGAACTTGATATGTTTGACCAACATGATATGTTACACTAAAGGAAGTATCACACATGATTTGAATATGAATATGAATATGACTCTGTTTCTGATACGAATATGAACATGAACATGACTATGTTTCTGATTTGATAAGAGATTTGAAATCTGATTTATGAGTTTCTGATACGAATACGAACATGAACATGATATTGTTTCTGATTTGATAAGAGATTTGAAATTTGATTTCTGAATTTGATATGGACATCATTCATTAAAACCCTTTACTCTGTTATTATTCATTGGGCTCTAGCTCATTGTATTATTTATGTATGTAGGTGATCAGGCGCGCGACTAGGCTTAGAAGCATCTACCTGGAATCTGTTTTTGTCAGCCAACCTATGTGCCTCCCGTGGAGGTTCCGGATATGTCAAGTGACTATGGCTATGTGATGCAAAGGTTAGGTTTTGTTTTCTTGATTGGTTAGACAAGTCTTGTGTATTTTGTAAATAGGGCTAAGTCCCTTTTTGTCTAATTTGTGTATATATATAATGACATAAGGATGATGTGTATATATGCATATAAAGTTTTAAAATTTTTCTGTCTCATATAAGTCTACACAGCTCAATGGATGTTGTTTAATTGCTATTTGCTTCCGTAGCCCCTAATTATATGTTATTCTGTTAAGAGGCCTTTGGTAATCCAAGGATTACTTGCCGATTACGACGCTAAACCTATAGGGGCGGGTTTGGGTCGTGACACTCACTAACGCCAAAACACTCCTCAAACTAACAACTAACCCAAAATTAGCAATTCAAGCTAAGTCACTATTCAACATCCATGATTCCAGGTAAATCAAATGGTAACAGGACTTGGTTTTAAAAAAAAAAAAAATTCATCATTTTCTCGATTCTTTGAAAATCATCTTTTTGAATGCAAAACATTTCTCACAAGTGCCAAAACTCACACCGATCAAAAGTCAAAATATATTTTTTGCTTTTCAAGTTACACTCAAAAGTTTTATAAACATTCTCCGAAAACAAAGATGTGAATCGAAATACATAATCATCCCCAAGTAAGTTGCACAAGACTATATAGTGAAATTTCTTATTACAATTTAGATTAACTCTGCAACACTTCTATTTAACAAGGCCATCCGAGGCTATAACACCAGGAAAAAATCATTTTCCAATTCAAGCTCAACAACTGTCATCGCATAACATCCATCACCCTTATCGTTATGCCACAACAAATACATACGCCAGATTTATATAACAATCTTTAAAAAAAAAAAAAAAAAACAACCGCGTATATCAAAACAACAAAACACAAGAAAGCTCACTATCTTGAAATTCTTTTTTATCATAAACATCATCATAAGTTATCACCCACATGAGGTGTAATACACATGTAAAACAATGACCCTACACACAATGATCCAACCCGAGAAGTTTCACAATTCAAGGCATGTCCACACAAGCTTCTAAACTCGCAAACATGAGACTTCACTCTCGCCAAACCACTCTAGGCACTTACAAGGTTATAACCCTTTTTACCAAACTTCAAGCTAGACCCTGTATGACTATTCGTCAACAACATTCCAACATCAACTAACCGCTTATCCAACTCAATAAAACTGAATGCTCAGTACCAAACACCCAACACCATTACTCCCAATGGAGTTCCGCACACAAACCTCCTATATCTCTTGGATCACGCCAGATTCCTCCAGACTAGACCATACCTCCATGGTTCCCAAAGTAAATCATCCCCCCTATATCTATATGGTAAGCACATCTCCACATCTTAAACATCGGACCGATATGGTCAACGACAATCACTTAACTTCGGACACAAATGAGTCTTCACCAATGCCACACTCACCTCCCAAGAACACATCCATTCTTCGTTCCAAGAAATACTTCTAGCATCTTCCCACGAATTTTTTTTCCCCCTTCCACTCTCATAACTCCACCCAATATCTAATAATACCTCAACACACACACTACCCTTATCACTATCAATAGGACCATTATGAACTCACTAACCAACAAAACCAAAATACTAAACATCACACTCAAATACCATTCTTACTGCCCCCATCATACAAATCTCACACTTCCTCGAAACATTCTCACTTAATCGGCCAATCCCGCAAACCCTAAAGTCTCACATTCCCTTATACTTGACACATCCTAGCCTTAGAACTTGTTTTCACCGCACAACACCCCTAACCATAACCATCCACATATTCTCATTCTCAACAATTTACTCCCAAACAAAATAAGGCTCACAGGCCACTGTATAATCTTGTCATAAAACAATAACATAAATATAGCACAGCTACAGTTACCAATCCCATTAAAGACTTCTCATTACACATATAAAAGAGTCTAAAATCTATCATAAGCCTTCAACAAATGAGGAATAACAAACAACAACAACAACAACATGTAAATATAAAATAGTACCATGATGCCTCAGCACCCAATAATACATCGGTCGACAACAAAAGTTCAAATATTAAACCACCTGTCTCTAATACAAAAGCCCCTCTCAAGGTTAATACTACTGTGATGACTGAAAAGTCAACCCTCGCGAAGCTCTCGACGCATGGCCTACACGGGTCTGGTATCGGTACTGCCCCCGACTAGACTGAAGAGATTGAGTCCGACAAGGTGCTGAAACACCCGAAGAATTCACACACAAAGAGCAAAAATGTCTAACATAGCCCCAATGACCACAATCAACACAAATAGTAGGCTTCCTACTCTGAGACTGGCTTGAAGCCTGAACCTCACTAGGCCTCCCAACTGACAAGTCTGAAATACCTGACAAAGACAAGGACTGAGCCTGAGATTGAGCATGCACTCACCTCCACCTTTTACTGAGCCTAGAACACTTATGAACCATAGGAGTTGCTGAAGTGGCCTCCTCTCTAACTCTCAAAACCATGGCCTCTACATGGGTCGTTGCCTTAACTAGAACATAGTAATTCTTCTACAGAGATCTAGCTACCTTGTCCCAGATATCATCACGCAACCGCTTCTCAAACTCATAACAACGACGCTCCTTTGTTGCCACAAACCCTAGAGCAAACCTTGACAAACTAGTAAACCGCGTCTCAAACTGTGCCAAAGGAGTAGCATCCTGGCACAACATAACAAACTATTCCCTCAACCTTTCCCGAGCAGAATGAGGGAAGTACTTAGCCAAAAAGGCCTCGATAAAAGCAACCCATCTGTTATCTACAGTGTTCTTAACATACTTCCACCAATACCCTACGTCACACCTCAATCGAAAACTCGCTAAATAAATCCTCAACTCTTCATTCTCAACTCTGAGCATATCAAGAGTCTTGGTAGTCTACTCTAACTAATCCTCTGCCTTTAATGGTTTAGCCTCCCCTAAAAACTCCGATGGATTGGAACGAAGAAACTCCTTAGTAAGCTTGAGGGTATGCCCATTGTCACTTTCATTATAAGCTAGAGCATCCTACACCGTTCTCACAATCTCGCGTGCAACCTCCTCGCCAACAGCCGATGCTGCAACGATAGGTGCTAAAGGAACCGTTATGCCCCTACCGGTACTCCTATTCCCAACTCATCTTCTATTTCCTTGTGTAGACATCCTATAATACCAAAAACAAAACCAAACTTAGCGCACAATACAATAGCCCTCCCTAAGGCACACATTTGTCTCCCAAACACACCCAATTCTACCACATATAAACAATTAAACACATAGTCACATAATCGAATCAAGTCCACAAGGATAACTACTCATCCCGAAACTCTCATCGACTACAAGTACTATCCAAGAAACTTAATCCTATACTCACATAAATGCAACATATAAGTCCTAACACTTATTCTTACTATATGTAACGTCCTTACCAAGCATAGCAAACCCGATGTGGTAAAAGCCACTCCCTATGAGCCCAAAGTGTTCAAACCCGGCTCGCTTTGATACCAAGTTGTAACGTCCCACTTTTATTACTCGAATAACATTACCAAATCATTATTATAAACAATTTGAGAAATAGCAAACAGATTTCCAATATCTTAGTAAAGGTAAGTAAATGAAGATTGTCTCATTTGTATACAGAATAAATGCAATATGTGGCATAATTACAGTAAATTGCCCGCAGGCTTACATCAAAATCAAAAAGGGTTCAAGCTTTTTTACAACAGCGATATTCAGCCAACAGATAAAAGGCCTCGTGGCCAACAGATAATGAAAATCCCCAATCTTAAACCACTTCTTGATATTCACCTGAAAAAGGATTAGCAACGTAGGATAAACATAAAGTCCAGTAGAGATCCTAACATGATCCTAAACAATAACAACATACAGATAGCTATGATCATGAATGCTTTAAGTCATATCATATACATATGTGCCGGTTTATACATGAAGATATACTTACATAGATACTTTTCTAGAAATCATTCAATTTATCCAATAACCAAAACCAGTCGCTTTTCTTTCTTCTCATTACCCCTTTTTCTTTTATTTAAAAACTTGCTAGGCAATAACAAGTATTTGAAACAAATCCACGAAATCCAATTACTTTTCCCCCAATTACCGAACTTACAATTTCCTAATAGAAACATCCCAAACGAACATGATGGCGATACATATAAAGTGTTCCTTACATAACCATATAAGACAATTGGCATCCCCCACAAAATAATCAGCACTATGCATGAAGCACATAAATAGAATCGAGATGATAACGAGAAACCCAACAATGCTCTACTTGCCTCAAGCACGGTAAACCAAGGATACACCTTTCTAATACTCATGCTAATTTACCAAATACCACTAAAAGGTAATGGTATCTCAACCAAGTTTTCCAGGCGCTAACTGGAAGGTACTAGTACACCACATTCTCAGCGCAACCAATGCTCCAGACGCTAGCTGGAAGGTAAAGGTACCTCTTATTCTTAACGTATGTACATTTCCACCATCACATAAGTCAACAATTATAAATAACCCGAGTGAACTATATACACATAATCTATTTCACATCACAATGCCATCCTCCACCGATGACCAAGGACAAAACCTCTCCGCATAAATATTTAAACACATGTAATACGATAATTCAATGCTCACTTGACCTTAAGTCCAATAACAATGATAATAACAATATTCAAAAATTTCAAAATCCAATCTCAAGCTCAATTCTAGATTTATTATATGCCATGGTTTCTTTCTCTTATCAAAATTAACTCTTTTATTTGTTTTTAATTTAACATGTTCAAATTATTTTCTTTCCAAAAACTAGTTTCCACATTTCAATAAAACCACATCCATGGATTCCAAGCCATAACCCAACTCAATTTAGCATGATTAACCCAAATAAATTCCATTACCAACATTGATTCTTCCTTTACGCTATCAACACAATAACACAACTTAATATTAACAAAACACAAACATTATTCAACTTTACCCCTTTTTAATTCATTAAGTCAAAATATGAAATTAGGGTTTCCCCCCCCCCCCTTTTTCAACATGAACAAGTTAATCTACCCTCCAATTAACCCAAACAACAATCAATTTCACAAATTCTACTCCAAACATTCAAACCCTAGATCCCCTTTTTATGATTTTCAAAGAAATTCATAATAGACACGATTTCTATGCAACAACATCTACCACATGTCTATCTATAGACGAGGTATTGAAGATAAACAAAGAAATCCCTACCTTAAGGCTAGAAGAAAAGGACAACAGGGATGAAGCTTTGACGGAGCCGCAAACAACTTCTTCCGGGATTGAATTGGAGCTCTAGGTGAGCTCTAACTTTTTCTCCAAAAGACAATGGTATCGAAATCAATAGATTAGAAGTATTTGGGACTAGAAAGCAAGAACTAGAGAGAGAGAGAGAGAGAATAAAAAAATGATCTAAAAAGTCACTTTTTGGAACTGATATACGCGCAGACTGCTCGAGCGAACAAACACCACTCGAGCAACCAAACACAATAAGTGACATCCCTCGAGCTAACGAAATGACTGCTCCAGCGCATAATGACACCCTCTCAGAAGTTTTATAGACAGAAGCACACTATTCGAGCGCAAGAAATACTGCTCGAGCGAAAAATACTGCACTCCTAGAAGTTTTGTAGATCTGCAAAAATGTTGGAAAATCTCAAAGGCAGCTCGAGCATAAGAATGACCATTCGAGCAAATTGGCCAAAAAAATTTGGGTAACAACTCTATTGAAAAAGTAACGCCTAACCTGTTTCGAACACAACAACAATATCCCAACAACCAAACTCAACAAGGAATAAGATGAATAAAGACATGAACAACCATTCAGAACTAGAAATCCCAGATCCAAAATAATAAATAGATCAGGTCTAAACTGAAATCGTTATAGTTCGTGAAAACTTACTTAGTTTTGTGTAGGGTTGAATACGGTGTGCATTGCACACCAGAGAGTTTTACTTTTGTGATTAATAAAACACAATATATATATATATATATATATATAAAGGTGAAAATATTTTTAGAGTAGAATCTTGCAATGCTACTGTATTATCGTTGTTGCTGTCACTACTAACCCACACACCTTCACTTTTGCCACCATTAATTCAATCATTAACATGTTAGTTTTAAATTCACAAGAAAATATAAGTATGCGTTTTCAATAAAAAAAAAAATTTAAAAAAAAAATTCATAAACAATATTTATCGTTGAATTTTTTTTTGGGGGGGTAAAAAAACAAAGCGTAAATAAGATATTAAAGATAAATTACACTTTGGCAGGCTCTCAAAACAACGTCGTTTTGGGAGTATTCTAGGAAGTTGCAAGAATTCTACTCTAGAGGATCCATGCGTTTGTAGGCATTGGTCAAAGTTGAAAGTTGAAAGGTGAAAGGCGACAATTAAAGAAAAGCACAATTAATGCATATGATTTTATCTCTATGGATCTCACATTATTCCAAGAAATGAAAGTGAATGAAAATCTATTTTTGTGATGAGTAATGCTCTGGTGTGCAGTGCACATTGTAGCAACCCTACAGAAAATTACGTAAGTTTTCACGAACTTATGTAAGTAATCTTACAAAAATACATAAGTTAAACACAATTGTTTGTAAGTTCATGAAAACTTACGTAATTTTGTGTGGAGTTGCATACTGCACACTAGAGAATTTTCCTTTTAGGATTAATAAAACATAATATATATATATGTATATAAAGGTGAAAATATTTTCTAGATTAAAATCTTACAATGCTACTGTACCAACCCACACACCTCTACTGTTGCCACCATTAATTCAATCATTAACACGTTAGTTTTAAATTTACAACTAAATTTAGGAATACGTTTTCTATGAAAAACATTTTTAAAAAAAAAAATCATAACAATATTTTCCATTGATTTTTTCCCGGCAAAACAAGTGCGTAAATAAGATATTAAAGATAAATTACACTTTGGCAGGCTCTCTCTCTTGTTCTCATTCTCTAAGTGTTATGTTATTTTTTATTTATTTTTTTTTTAAATCCAAAACAACATTGTTTTGAGAGTACTCTAGGAAGTACTACAAGAATTCTAGTCTAGAGGATCCTTGTGCTCGTAGGTATTGGTCAAAGTTAAAGGGTGAAAAGTGGTAGTAATAGATAAGCACAATTAATGCATATATGAATGATTTTATCTTTATGGATCTCATGCTATCTCGAGAAATGAAAGTGAACGAAATCCTATTTTTGTGATGAGAAATGCTCCGGTGTGAGATGCACATCGTATGCAATCCTACACAAAGTAACGTATGTTTTATGAACTTACATAAGTGAATTTGTGTTCAACTTATGTATTTTTGTAAAATCACTTATGTAAGTTCATGAAATTTACGTAATTTTGTGTAGGGTTGTATACGGTGTGCATTGCACATCAGAGAATTTTATTTTTGTGATTAATAAAACACAATATATATAATGGTAAAAATATTTTTTAGACTAAAATCTTGCAATGCTACTGTAGACTACCAACCCACCCACCTTTACTGTTGCCACCATCAAAGTACTTTTAAATTCACAACTAATAGAAGAATTCGTTTTCTATGATAAACATTTTATAAAAGAAAAAAAACCATAAACAATGTTTACCATTAAATTTTTTTCCGCTAAAACAATAAATAAGATATTAAAGATAAATTACACTGTTAGTCCTTCTACTTTGAGTAAAGTTTTACTTTGGTCCTCATAGTTTTAATTTGAATAATTTAAATCTTATACTTTGAACTTTGTTGAAATGTGGTTGCTCTATCATTGTCCTTAGAATTTTAAATAGAAAAGGATCATGTTAAACTAAAGAAATTAAAGTGAAGTTTTAAAATAACTATAGAGACTACCAATATAACATTTTCATTATATCAGTGGTCCCTATACTTTCTTTTGAATTCCATTTTGGCCTTTGTAATTTCGCATGAGGTTTTTTTTTTCTGTTAAAAATGTTAATGATACATAACGAAGGAATTATATTGCAACAAAATTGAAAGTGTAGAGTTTAAATTGTTCAAATTCAAATTATAAGAATAAAATGACAATTCAATTAAGGATCTTACTAATGACAACCCTTAATAACAAATATAAAATGCCAAATTATTTATAATTTCAATATATTTTTTTACATATTTTGATACACATCTTCTACAAATTTTCAACACTAAGAACAGCTCTTAGAGTTAATTTTAACAATTTTCTTCTACTAAATTAGAAATATAATTTGTAGTACCGATAAAAGATAAGTTGAGGAAGAATTGATTGCGATGGTTTGGTCATATTCAATGGAAACCAACAGAGGCAACAACGAAGAGATGCAATGCAGTAACGGTAGATGGAAGTGTTAGGGAATCGGATAAGCCTAGATTAACTTTGACTAGTGTTGTAAATAGATATATGGATCTATTTAATTTAACTAACGAAATGACCTTCGATAGTGTGGCGTGGAGAAGAATGATTCATATAGTCAATCCCATTTGATGAGACTTAAAACTTGATTTGATTTGATTTAGAAATATAATTTAATTCTGTAACCGATTTTTTTATATCTGATTTAATAATGTTAAGTGGGTCCCAACAGAATTACCTCGTGACGTTTTTTTTGCTTGAAATTTAGGTCAAGTTTGGCAACTCTAAAATAATTAATCTTTTTATCTTTTTTTCATCATATCACCTCTCTATTTTTCTGCACATCTTTTTATAAAAAAACAAAAAATATATTTATTTAGATCATACCAAACAATCCCTTAAGAGCCATTCAACGGAGGGGATTACGATGGAGTAAGCCAAACATTGAAGAGGACAAATTAGGGATTGAAACGTACTAAATATTGGCAGAAAATTGTAGGCATGTGTACCAAACGTGTCACTAATCTGGGGGGGTACCCTAACCAACTATAAAAGTTTCTCAATACAGAGTCAGTCACACACACTCTCACACACAATCACAACTATGTTATCTGTATCTTCTTCTTCTTAGACCCTCACAATTCACAGTCTCAGAAAGCAATCAAAAAAAAAAAAAAAACAGAAAGAGATTTAGTGGCAAACCTCACATTTCAAGAAGCCATGGCCACAGAGACTGGTTTTGCTTTCTGAAGTTGGTTTCTTCATGAATTTCAGTTAAGTATGTTCTTTTTTTCTCTTTCTTTTTTTAATTTTTAATTTTTTATCAAGAAGTTTATGATTTGATCTAATTCAGGTTCAGTGCTTGGAAAAATGAAATTCTGTTTGATTTGTTTTTATTTTTATTTTTATACATGCATTGCTTTCTATTAGCTGTTTCTCTCTTCTTCTTCTTCTTTTTTTTTTGTTTAAATATTTTTTTTTGTTATTTGGTAATTGTATTTTTCTTTTTGGATTTATTTAGCTTGTTGATTATGCATGCAATGGTTCATTATTTTTCGTGTGTATATATACACACGGATGAGATCAGTCATAGTTTCAAAATTCATTAAATTCGTGCACTGATTTGTTGAAATTTGGGAATTGGGTTTTGGTTTCCAGACCTCAATTGGTCACAAAATGGACTCCATGGTAAAACCCAGATCAGAATCCAGGAAAATTAACCTCCCACTAGTTTATTTATTTATTTATAAAAATAAAAAAAAAATTAATTTTCCTGGGAGGTTAGTTTAGAAGGGCTATTTTTATATTTTTTGGTTCCAAATATTCAATTTGTATCAATTTAGTCCTCAATCTATAAAAAAATGTTTCAATAGTTCCTTACCAAATTCCATCAATAGACATCCTTAAAATCAAGGGGTAAATGTATAATTTTGATTATCAAAATGACATAGATTAAAAGTGTAAATTATATACGTAGACGTCATTAAAAACAATGATAAATTTATAATTTTGATTATAAAATGACATATAGTGTAAATTACATTTTGGAGCTGAAATGTAAGTTTTCACATTTATCATTGATTTTTAATGGCATCTACTAACAAATTTAGATTGGGAGTACTAAGTTTTAACCATTTAATATTTCAATTTAGTTTTCAATATTTAAATTGTATCAATTTGGTTCCTCATGTATTTTACAATTTAAATATTGAGAACTAAATTGAAATATTTTTTATACATTAAGAGACTAAATTGACACAATTTAAATATTATAAACAAAAATAACGCAAAGCTTATTCTTTGAGGACCAAAAATAAAACTAACCTCTTTTGGAATTCAGTGAAAATAAATGCATTTTGATGGGTTATGCGCGCATTGTGCATGTGCAATTTAAAACGGCTGAATAATATCTGGAAAGTAATAATGATGGAAAGTAATAATGATAGTGAGTTTTAATTTTGGAGTTTTAAAGAAAGTTTTAATGATATGACAAAATAAAAAGAAAAAGAAAAAGAAAAAATAAAAATATAGGTACACACATCACATCACATTTAGGTTTCACTCCTTGTCACATCACTAGAGTTCTCTTTAGAGTTTTAAAATTAGAGCTCTCAATCTTTATTCATCTGGAAAGTGTTTCCCACGGTTGGCTTGGTTATAAAAGTTAAAAGTCAAAAATTATTATTAAAAAAAAAATTAAAAAGTCTATATTATTTAGGTGAAGTTTGTAAGGGTCAATAAGGGTAGAATGTTCATTTTGATTTTGTTATAGTATTTTATTATATATTTTTTGATAAAAAGTTAAAAAATCATTTCAAACATACATATATTTTTTCTCTACTTTTTTAATTAAAAAAAATAAATTAAAAAGTACACTTATATAGCTATTCCCTTCTTAAAAATAGGAAGTAAAAAAAAAATGACATCGATAGGTATATACCGATTTGTACCGATTCTGCTTACAAAACGATTAGCGAGTTTTGCCTAACGGTGAAAATGGGTTGGGCCGGATAACTAGTAGCCCAAAAAAGATGAATAGTTAATTTTAACCAACCTTACTTGATTGTGACAGAAGAGTTAGTTTGATTACTACTGCATTTAATTTTGATTTTAGAGTAAATTACAAACACATACTTTGAGATTTACTTAAATTATAAATTATTTTTAGTTCTAAAAATTACATTATGTCCCCTAAGATTTTTAATTTCATAACAAATAGGTCTTTTTATTAATAAATCATCAAGTTAATTAACAGTTTTTAATAATGTTAAAATTTTATTTCAATTAATAATTCAGATAATTTTATTATTGTATAGGTTGTTAGAAATTTTACTTTTTTAATTAATTCTGTTAAATAAAAAATTCTGAGAATGAGCTATTTGTAATTTTCCAAACCACAGCAGACAATTCGTATTTTAAGCAAATTTTGTAATTTATCTTTGATTTTAATGGAGATCTATACGAGTTATTACATACCATGTTAGCTATTTAAATATCGGCCAAGTCAAGTCCAAAAGTGGGTCGTCTTGTTGTTGATGAGCCATTTTTGGCCCTTTTTAAGTTGGGCTTTGATCAAGATTGATTATTGGGGCTTCTTGGCCTCTTTATTTATCAATGTTAGCAATCAATTGGTGCCACATAAGGTGTTGTTGATTTAAATCATCAAAACATGGGCCAATATTAGTCCTATTTGCTTCTTGGTTTAACCTTTTGGGCATGGCTTCAATATGGGTGGATCTTGGGCACTACTTGGGCCAACTTTCTACTTGTCTAACAAGAGAGAGAGAGAGAGAGAGAGAGAGGGAGAGGGAGAGAGAGAGATTAAAAATGTTCATGCCAGAATAACAATGTCAAACAAGTCTAACGAGTCTAATGATATCAAACAAGCCCTCTGGAAAAAATAAACTACAAATCTTTACTTTTTACTTGCAGACTTCAACAAAAATATAGAGAAAATGTAATAAATTTTCACAAAAAGGTAAACACATAAATTAATAATAAATATAATCTAAAAGCACCCAAGAGATGGTAAATGAGATGTTTGTTAAGAATGAGCTATAGAAGAGACTTGCCCGTACCCATAAATCTCTAGGACATTTTCAAACTCTTCGAGTAGGTTATCAAGCACCCATTTTGAATCACTCTTTAAAATTTTTGAAAAATACAATCTTTCAAGGACTTAAAATTAAAATGATATAATAAAGTGCAATTCAAGTGTATAAAATAATATTTTACGGGTAATTCGAGCAAAAGTCACATGCCAAAAGGATAATAATACATGTAATATGAATTTAGGATGAAAAATATTTGAATTCCTTTCGACAATAGTTTGTTAAACTATATATGATAGTAGTGACACAACTTTGAGAATCAAACATGAAAATGCATATATATCGGCCATTCTAGGAAGTAGTAGTTTTGGCCTATACCTATGTATTGCATATATTCACCCAAAAAAATACCTATGTATTGGACTAATTTCTTAGTTGTTGGTTGATATTTTATTCACTTAAAAGGTATAATGTTGAATGCTATCTATTAATTCTATTAATCAATTATTTTGCTGATTATTATTATTACAATCATCATTATTATTTGTTTATAGTCACTATTTTGTACGTTTTAATTTCCCTACTTGCTTCTGACAGGGTATATTGATCTTTCAATCCAATAAAGACTAGGAACTTTTAAAACATTTATATCATAAAATACCAAGTGTTTATCTGCTAAACTATGGACACTTCTGACCCTGCAAGTATTACTTGTGGCGAGGTTAAGTCTGAGTTGCCACATCATCCATCCAAAAAACCATTAAAGAACCACTCAAATTCATCGTCAAACAAACAAACTTCTATTTTTTCACTTACCATAGATGAGTTTCAATACAAGAGTGGGAGGAGTTTTGGGTCAATGAATATAGATGAATTCCTCAATAGTGTGTGGGGTGTGGACGGGAATCCAGTTTATTCAAATACCAACCAAAACGAAGCGACTGACGATGAAAATGCTGCCACTCCGATAGACCTACCTCGTCAAGGCTCGTTTTCTATCCCTACCCCACTTTGCAATAAAACTGTGGAAGAAGTTTGGGCAGAGATTAATAGAAGCCAATCACCACAACACAACCTGAACGGTATTAGTGATGACTTTTTTGAACGCCAACAAACATTTGGGGAGATGACTCTAGAAGACTTTTTGGTAAAGGTAGGTGTAATCCAAGAAACAACAGATATTTCTCAACAAAAAGTTGCAGACGATTTCCAAAATCATAGTGGGAATTTTCCATGTAATGAGACGTGTTTGGATCCTAGTATCGGATCGAGACCTATGATGGGTCTCGAATTCTCTCATCCAAGTAGTGAAAATAACTTTTTGGGCAATGGTTCTCCGATGTACCAAGTATTCACACCCAATGCAGGCTTTGTGGGAGAACCATCTAACAACATTGGAAATGAAAAATGTAATGGCGTGCGAGAAGTGGAAGAGCCACATACCAAAAAGAGGATGACAAGTGGAATTATGGAGCTGGCAGTGGAGCGAAGACATCGAAGGATGATAAAGAATAGAGAGTCAGCGGCACGATCTCGAGCCCGGAAACAGGTATGTATCTTACCCATACACATCTCACACTTTTCTCATCTAAACAATCACCAAATGACAATTATGCTTCTTAAAACATTTAAGTATATATTTTCAATGATAGCACAACTTATCCATATGTGGTTTGTGAAAGATATAATATCCATAGTTGGATATTATTTCAAATACCTCATATAGATGAACTCAAAGTTTTATTCAACCCTTAGCAAAGTCTTAATTCTACAATAGGGAATAAGATCATCAAATGTCGTCAAATGCCTACTACCTACCATTCATCTATTGTGACTCAAGAAGATTCTAAGTGAAAAAATATATGAATTAACCAAATTAACCATATGCTTTAGTAGTAATGCCACGATTTAATTTCCATTTCATTATATAAGCTTAAAATTGAACAAAGGGGAGTCAAAGTTCAAGAGTTGTTTCCCATGGAAAAATAAAAATAAAAATAATAATAATAATAATAATAGAAAGTATGAACCTAAAGTTGTTCAAGGTGAAAGAGGAAACAAACATACAATCAAGAGTATATGTCATGTCAAGGAGCCCTAATCTCCTCTTAAGGTTCAAGGTAAAAGAGGAAACAAACATACAATCAAGAGTATATGTCATGTCAAGGAGCCCTAATCTCCTCATAAGGTGCAAAGGTTTGGGCCAATTAGACTAACCTTGTTAGTTGTACATCAATTTGATAGATGTGGAATATTAGATCAATCAAAAGTGTTGCCATGACACACAATGGCACCTTGTTGATGGAAAACAAGAGGAATAGAAAAAAATGAGAATTCTTTAAGATGAACATGGTTTATTGTGGTGATTATATGTAATACACCGCAAGGGCATTGTATTCCAAGGAGAAAAATACCTTAAACAAAAGAAAAGGCACAAATATTTTTGTGCCAAAGGCATCTAGTCTAGAAAAGAATAATCATCTTCTAATAAAAAACTAGGGGACACGCTCAAAATATATAATTTTATTTATTTATTATATCATAAATTTTTTTTAAAAAATTGAGAAGTAATAAAAAATGAAAAATAATATTAATAAATATTTAAAAAAATATATATATATATACAACTATTCATCAATTTCAACACTTTACCTAATAAATAAATGGGCAAATTACATATACCTCCCTTGGGGTTTGGCTAAATTACAAATATCCCCCTGAGGTTTCAGAAATTACATCCCGCCCCCTAAGGTTTGTATTTTCATAACAATTTACCCCATGAGGTTTAAATTTCATAACAAATTATCCCCTAATTTGTTATGCAAATATAGCATTCATGGGAGAATTTGTAATTTCTCAAACCTCAGGGGGGTATTTGTAATTTAGCCAAACCTCGAGGGGGATATATGTAATTTGCCCTAAATAAATTGAGCAATTTTAAGAAATTTATTTTTTCTTCAAATAAAATTAATTTGCTCTATACATGTTAGGGTCAAAGATGAATATTAAAAATAGAGGGGTTGCCAAATTTTTGTTCTTATCCAATAGTTGACCTCATAAAAGAGGTTTAGAAAATATATAATTAAACTAAAAATAGAGAGAAGAAAAAAAGAGTGAGAAAGAAACGGAGGGGAGAGAGAGGGAGAGAGAGAGATTACAGAACAGAGTCTAAAGGAAAACAAAGAAAACAAGAAGACAACCAAACAAGGAGAAGAACGAAGACGAAGAGAGACAGAGAAGAGAGAGAGAGAGAGAGAGACCTACCCGCGAATCCGCGATTGCTTCAATAGGGACCTTCAAAAGCTTCGCCAACTTTGCCTAGGGTTTACAGGTGAGCGACTTCTCTCTTTCTCTCTCTCTCTCTCTCGCGCGCAGTGTCCCTCAAGTGTTTGTGAGCGTGTCCACAAAGTGTCCGACTGGAAAAAAAAATCAAAAAAAATTCTAGACACGTTAGATTAAGTGTCTGACACGTGTCGGACACCCATATGTTGCTACTGGAGAGGTGTCCATGCTTCATAGATCATCTTATTAGAAAAGAACAGTCATCTTTACTCCACTAGCGTATATATGATTATGAATTTGAAATCATTTTGAAAGTGATTATCAATGGAGTAAAGTCATAGCCAGTTACATTAATATTCTGCATCGATGTTCATAGTTGGTTGTTTTTTTCATGTGATGGATTGGTGTGAGATTTTGCTTAACTGCTTTAAAATCTATTTTTCTTTCACGTGAATTAATTCTCTCATGTCATGCAAATAAGGGTGTTGGATTTTGCATGCGCAATTTATTGCTCCTATCGGATCTCAGTATAAATGCACTTTCTTATTCAGAACTTTGCGCCTAACAAAGTTTTAACAAATTACGTTTATCAGCAAAAAGAGCTCTACAACTTGGTTTAACATTCCAATTTTTTTTTTTTTTTTTTTTTTTTTTTGGGATCTCTTTTGCAGGCATACACAGCAGAATTAGAAATAGAGCTAAACCAATTGAGAGAAGAAAATTCAAGGCTCAAGCTCATTGTGGTATATCAAGATGTTCTAAGACATTGATTTAATCTTTTTCCTAGCTAGTTAACGTTTGTAATGACCAACAAAAACCTTGTTCTATATCTTGAAACAGGAGGAATCTAGGAACAAACAGAAGCAAGAGGTAAAATTCAACTAAACCTTGAAATAAAATTATTTGAATTTCTAATCTCTTTACAAATTACAAGTTTTTCTCCATTAGAATATACCAAGTCATCTTCAAATGATTGCTACATAAAGCACTTCGACTTGTTTTATGCATAAGCAGGAGTTGAAAGAGAAGGCACATTGGACAGCAGAGAAGTTCAAGAAAATGAGGAGGACCTCAAGCTTGGATTGGTGAATAGAATGAATTTTATGGGTGGGGGGCTGAAACAAAAATAAAACAAAACAAGAATGTTTGGTTTGAGAAGTATAAGACATATTACAAACTGTTTTCTTTATGCATGTAAAAAGTTCAGACATAATGTTTACCTTTGAATAGATAAGTGCAATAATGTCATTTAGGCAAGGAATTGTCTGTATATTTCTTTTGGGATACAATGCTTACATTGAGAAACAATTACAATAATGTTATTTTGGTTAAAGAGTGCATGTACTTTCTGTTCTTTCCAAAATTTAAATTTGTTCATGATAATGGGTATATAATATCTTCTAGTTCCTTGCATCCTTTGAATTACTGATGCATACATGTACATATGACAGTGTCCTACAGGGGGGCGAATATGAGTCGGGACAATTCAAGATTTAAGTGTTTGTTGAAGATTAGTTCTTTCAGATATCTATGCCCTCCTTGATTCTAGTTGAGCAATGATTGTCCTGGTTGAGCAGGGTTGATTTCTTATGATTGATATAATCTTGTTTATCTGAAGTCAACTTACTAAATCTTTGTGAAACTATTAGATATTCATATAAGCATTTCACGAATTGATATCTTTGCTTGAATTTTGATTGTTACATAAGTATAATTCATTCAATCATACATTCATGGTATAGATTCACAACTAGATATATAATGCATGGAATGTAAAGAGAATGAATGCAAGGATTTATGGTGATGCGGCACATATTGTGCCTGCATCCACTCTCGGTCTACCTTGTCGGTATGAACTCTATTATATCAAATGTGTTTTCCCTACCTTTACCCAAAACCCTTATATTTTTCCTGGGACAACTTATGTTTTGTCAAAATGTGTTTTCCCTACGTTCACCCAAAACCCTTGTAACTCTAGAATTTTCCTAGGACAACTTATGCTTCAGATTCTTCCCAATTCCAAGTATGAATTCATATATAAAAGTCCAAAGACTCATCCTTTTCCTTATCCATCCATTCATCGTGTGTGGCCTATTCAGTTCCTTCCATGACTTCTCTTTCATTTTGAAACCTGGCCAAGAATGTCCGCGGAAATGCTGCACCTTGATCCATGAACCCATATTACATAGAAATAGAAAAAGAATCACCTTGATAATAAACCAAATCGAGCCTGGGATATTCTTGAAAATGGGGCCTTCCGAAGACCCCCCTTTCTATTTTCGCAAGCATGCTGATTTTCCTTTTCTTTTCTTCAAACTCAATAAGGCACAGGTACTATGGATCCTTTGACTCCCAATTGGTCTGTAGGTGCCGTCTCTTGAGGGAGGATTGAATCCGATGATGTGCCTCAAGATGGCCGTCTCTTGAGGATTGAATCCAATCCCATCCAGCATCGGCCAGTAGAGTTCACTCATTCAGTAGCAAGGGGAAGATGAACAATGATGCTATACCCTTGCAACTCTAGATTTTTCCTAGGACAACGTATAACATTTGCAATCAATTCAAAATCAACCAAATATAGGGTTATCTTGGTTCAACCCAAGATCATTTTTCCTACACAACAACCAGCTCACTTGGCAAAACTTAATGATACCCAATGAAGTAATAATACTAGGGTGAGGGATTATAACTTCAAGAGAACTCAGATTTCTAAAGCAAGCTAGCACTGGAACACTAAAGTGCAAAGAAAGCTTCACAAGTTCACCCGCACTCACACAAGATAGGAACCTCTATGAGATGTGAGTGCATAGGAAGAGTATAAACACTTCAAGAGCTCATTCTAATCAAGGTACTTTGCTTGGTTAGAGTTTTCCAAAAACACTTTTAAGAAAATTCTACTTTTTTGTTTTCCGTGGTTTTTTTTTTTTATTGAATTTTTTTAATATTTTAAGTAATTTATTTAATTTTTAAACATACCTAACATAAATATACCTAAAAAGTAAAAAAATTTGTGAAAAAAACTTTTTAAAAATTCACAAAATATCAAAAATATAAAAAAATATATAAAAATTCAGTACATTTTTTGTATTTTTACGTATTTATTAATTTTTTAAAATATTTTTTCACAAATTTTTTACTTTTTAAATACATCTAAGTAAGGTACATTTAAAAAAGTAAAAAAAATGTTTAAAATTTTAAAAATATTCACTAAAAACAAAAAAACACGAAAATCAAAAAACTCAATTTTCAAAAAAACTTAATCCAAAAAACTCAAACCAAACACACTTAATCCTAAGAAATGGCTAGTCCAACTGTTATAAGACATTGTTTTTTCAAACTCCACCTTTATAAGACATATGTGATAGATCTTGGATAAATTTTTGTCAGATTGAGAAATTTAGTATGTGTTTGATCTTTTATGTCCAAACCAAAGAAATATTGTATTTTTAAATGATATTATTATCACCTAGAACATTACACTGCTGTTAATAACCTATACAACATCAACAATTTTAAATGAAGTAAATTCAAATCAAGCAAGTAAACAATTAAGCAATTAAGGAAATTGAAGAATTAAATATTTACGCAATTAAATGTATAAAAAAATTAAGTAAAACAAACATTTAAGCATAAATAAATGCTTGGATTGCAAATTACTATATGACCATTAATGCTATGTATATTTAATTTGTTAATGCTCTTCATTTATTTGGAAGGGCTTTAAGAGGATGTGCCCACACATAAAATTAACTAACTTCATTAGATCATAGGAAAAATATAGCATGTTTAACAGAATGGGCACGATTGAAAGAAGCGTGCTCCTCTACGCGCCTTGATCCTTGGTGTGCCTTGCATGCCTCGACTATATTTTGTTAAAAGTTGTCTCACCCCAAGGGTGGCACCTCACGACGCCCAGTTGGGCGCTTTCGATAAATTTGATCTATAATTTGATTTTTATTTGAATAGCTAGATTTGTTGACTAGTACAGTTCAATTATTTCCTCAGAGATTGAGAGAGATACAACCAAGTTGTATCAAAACAAACACACAAACACACACACACACACACAATAAATGGAAGAACTATTGGTATAAAATTTTCTGGTGATGCATTGATTATGCATTACACAAGTGGGATGCTAAATTAAACAAAAGGGAACAGTGATAATGAGTTGGTGGTCATTTGTGGGGTTCTAGGGACAAATGGAATACCAATGGTAGAAGATGAAAAAGAAGGTTGTTAGGGAACAAGACTTCTTCTGAAAATGAACTTCCTTTAATAGCAAAATCATGAATATGATATCATACTTTCCTTTGAACATTTCCTATCAAAATGCCAATCGTATTAACTACATACTTTTACAAAGTCTTCAGATGAAAAAATGACAAAAAATAATGCCAAAACAAAGAGTTTAATTAAATCAACACATTTTTGTGTAAAACCAAGATTTCGGACACTGGAAGAATGTGAAACTAAATCTTGGTTGATTGTTCAAAAACAGACTCTAGCAATGTAACCAACAGCAGCTACACAGCAATGGACGCAGTACTTCTGAAAGGAGAGTTCAGCGGAAGGAGAGTGGAGAGCAAAACTGAATAATTATACTTATAGTAGGCATCTCTGTCAAAAGGACTCAGATGGAGAGAATTCTGATTTTAAAGGTCTTCCTAGTTTTCACGTATGTTATGTATTTACACAAGGGGCTGGTTACACTAATAAGCATATCATTATTCCTTTTTGTATTATGGTTTTCTTCACTGGATTACTGGCAGCAGGGCATATGTCAAATACAATCTTTTATTGTTATTTCTCATAGCTGACAAAAATATCAAGTATTCACAGCATGTAAGAAGTGACTAAGCAATGAGTTCAATAATGTACATCAATCATCGAAATCGCCATCCTTACGAATTAGTCATGTTGACAATGTCCGAATAAAGCCCGTGCTTATTGTTTGAGAAATTTAATGAAGCCACTCTACATGGTTGCTTTTGTAAACTTTGCCTCGCACAACTTCATCGTTTCAAGTCAAAGATGACAGAAGGCACTTTTTTCTCTCTCGAAATATAAATTACAAGAAGGAAAATTCACACGGTAATTATATTGCAACCACTTGTTAACAGAACAAATAGCATCTAGCTGATAGTTTTGCATTATTTATGGAAATTCCTCAATATTTGAAGTTAAATGCCTGATGTCAGTTTATCACAGTCGAGAAACACATTGATGACAGATCATTTGTTAAGGTTGACATACCACTTGATCCCTAGCGACTAAGGGCTGTGTTTGGTTCAAGAATTTGGAGATAGATTTGGAAAGAAAAAGAAAAAAGATAATAAAATGTGAATAAAATATATTTATATTTCACCTAATTTTACCCCTCTTTTCTATTTCTCTCTCCAAATCCCTCTCCAAATCGTTAAACCAAACACAGCCTAAAGAAGAAATGGATAAAAAAATGGGGCTTTTATTTCATAATTGCAGCTCTGCTTCTGAGTCCGACCAAGAATGGCATGGAAGTTTTTAGACATTGATTAGACCAAGTTAAGAGTGTCTATACAAAGCCCTAATCTATTCAGGCTGCTGGAACCATATCTTTCCCTTGTTGGTGGCTTAATAAACCTTACAATTACTCATCAGGAAATCGCCCACTGCATTAGTGTGGTTAATCTAGACTTGGTTCTAATGTCTGCTTTAATTGCAGGGAGATAAAGAGCCCTTCTCAGGTAGGCATCGCCAACAAACCACTGATAAAAATCTCTCATTGCACAATTCAATTCACCTCAAAAATAAATATCCACTACTGCTGAAAATTTCTTTTTAACATGACCATATATACCTAGACAACAGCTCAAGAAAGTGAAAGTCCTACAATTAAAGCACAAAACAACTTAAAAAATGGTCTCTCAGGCCCTACAACATTTAAATTCAGAAATAAGAATAAGCATAGATACAATAAAATTGCTTCCATTTGGATAAGAATATACTAGTCAAATTGCTCCAAGAAAACAAAGCAATTAGATTATAATATGAAGTTAATGGCAAAAGAACAGTTGTCTTTCTTAAGAGAGAAAGATAGCACTGAAACTCAAAAAAAAAAAAAATTCATAAAATCAATCAATAAAACCTGTCTTCCGAAACACCGCATTCCGAACCTGACGCAGATCTCTCCCTTTAAGAGTCCTTCCAACACCTTCAAGAACAGAACAGGCAACCAATGGTGACTGCCTCGAAGCAACGACCTCGTGAGGTGGTAGCATCTCACCATCCACTTCATCATCATCATCGTCATAAATATCATCGAATTGGCGCATCTCACGGCTCCTCCGCATTGCCTCCGTCATCACTGGCACATTCACCGGCGCCGATTGATGGAACTTCAACGAGCTATTCCGATCCAGAGGCGGTTTCTTCGGAATCATCCTCGACGACGACGAAGTCGAAGACGTCGACGAAGAGACCGACGTCGAAGCCTTGTGGTTGAAAACAGAGCGAGTCTGATCCGATTCCGTCACCGGAGGCAATGCAGCGAGGATGCCAAAATTCTCCGCCCGGCCGACGCCGTGGTGATGATGGGAGCGAGGAGAGGAGTAAGTGGAATGAGAGGTGGAGGAATGGTTGTGGTCGGCGAAGTCGCCGGTCCAGAAAACGTCGTCTTCGTCGAGGTCGTCGCCGACGGCGGAGGAGAGGGGAGGAGAGAGAGTGAAGACGTCGAGAAACCGATCGGAGGAGGAGGAAGTGGTTCTCCGGATGCGGAATCTGGCGGCGGCGCCACCGCTCGGGTCCATGAAAAAGATTTTGCTCTCACCAAAAGATAAGAGAGTCCATGAAAGAGAGGGATGGAGAGACAACAACACGTGCTTACGTGTGTGAGTGTATATATATATTCAACAATGATTCATCCCATTAAAAATATCACCACTAATAGTACTGTGAGTGTATATATATATTATATATATATATATATAGAGAGAGAGAGGGGAGATTCTTCTAAGAAAAATGTTTGGGAGCACTAATTAGTGTTCCCCACTAATTAGGTGACAGTGGGTCCCATCATTAATGATGTGATATTTTGTATTTTTTTTTTTTTACTTTTTTAATGCATTAGTGCTATTAGTGGTGATATTTTTAGTGGGATGAATCATTGTTGTTCTTCTAAAAATGTTGAGAGAGAGAGTGAGAGAGAGAAAGAGAGACGTTGAGTGAGAGGGCAACGTGGCAGAGAAGTAGGAGGTAGTGGGGGTGGGGGACATATATACTTGTAGAGGTGGGGGGTATAGAATCGAAATGAAAAATAATTCGTAAACAAAATTTTTGTATATTAAAAAAAAAAATCTATAACTGTTAATTTTTAACTATATTTTAAAAAAATTTATCATTAAAAATGTTGTTAATTATAAGTTTTAATAATAATTTTAAAAAGTTATCAAAAAAATCGCTAACTTTTATCGACAGTTTGAAAAATTGGTCATAGAAAAACGTCGCTAATTGTAATTTTAACGATAATTTATAAAAACAATGACAAAAAAATCACTAATTGTCAATTTCACAAAAAATTATTCTTAACAGCAATTGTATTAGGACTTATTTTCAATAAAAGTTGATGAAAATTAAATCTAACTATTACGATTTATTCATAATTTATCCAAAATATAAAAAGTTTATTAAAAAAGTATCTTTATGTTGGTTTTAAAAAAATGTACTTGTATCTTAATTTGTTTATAAAATATTGTTGTATTTTCAATAAATTATATTATTTTGGACATTTAATCTATTAAATCTTAATTTTTATATTTAAGATATTTTATGAACAATTTTATTTTTACAAATATTTTTCAAACCCTTAGCAACTTAGTGGACACTGTTTTGAACTATTTTGTAAATGTTTCATAATGTAAACATTTATATAAAAAAAATTTGACATGTGAATGTTCACATCATGAAACAGTTACATTGTCAATGTGAATATGAATAAACACTTCATCCTATTATTATTATAGATATTTTAGTAATTATATCATTTATAGAATTTATTATAATAATTTGAATTGAGTGAAATATAAATAAGTAAAAAGTGGTTTATAAATAAATACCTCATAAAAAATTGCACTTGTTACTTAAAATTTTAAGATAATAAACCATTTTCATTAACTTTTTATTTGAACGGAATCAATATAAATTTGACATATTATTATGCAAAAAGGAAATTTATTAAAAAATCGCTTTTTAAGTGTTTGTATCCCAATTAATCTATAAGATATTCTTATATTCTAATAAATCTTATTATTTGGGCATTTGATATACCAAATATTAATTCTCATATTTAAGGTATTTTATGTACATTTCTACCCTTATAAATATTTTTTGAACAGTTAGCAATTTGATAATGTGAACATTAATATTTTACAATGTAAACATTAATATTTTACAATGTGAATATTCACATTAATGTGTGAATGTTTATATTGGCATGTTAACGTTCACATTGATAATGTGAACATGCACATCACGAAACATTTACACTATAAATGTAAATATCATTAGAGATATTTTGATAATTATGCCATCTATAAGACTTATTGAAATATTAAAAAATAATGTCGATTAAATGAAACATAAATAAATGAAAAAAAGACATATGAAAAAGTGTTCCTATGTAAAAACTATGTATATGATTTTTTTTTTTTAAATTTAAAAATTTTGATCTCAAAAATAAATTATAACTTTGTAATTGTTTTAATTAAAATCTTGAGTGTTTAAAATCATATCAATTTTAATGCTTCATTATTTTTTTTTTTTTTTTTTTTTTTGAGGAAACATTGGTATCCATTCAATATAATAACAAACGAAGCGGTAAATTAAATAGTTTAATTATTTTTTTGCCCTTTATTACTGTTGATAGTCTTTTCCCACTGTTACCATCACCAATTACGATCCCTCATTTTGTATTTTGGCTTGGTTAGGCAATTTGACTAAAAACCTGTTTTTAGATTTTTTAATTTTTTTTTTTTTTAAATCACATCACCAACCTTAATTCCATTTCACTGCCGTGCTACTCTTCTCTAGTTTACTATCACTCCTCTCTTCATTTTCCCATTTCTAATCACCGTTACCATCAAACATCATCAATAAAAAAATAATTAGTGTATTTGACTTGAATTTTTTGGATTAAATTTTTTAATTTTTATATTTTTTTATTTTTAGTAAATATTTTTAAAATTTTAAACATTTTTTTTTATTTTTTTAGATACACCTTACTTAGATGTATCTAAAAAGTAAAAAATTATGAAAAATATTTTAAAAAATTAATAAATACATAAAAATACAAAATATGTACTGAATTGTTGTATTTTTTTATATTTTTGGTATTAGTGAAATTTTTAAAATATTTTTTTTATAATTTTTTTACTTTTTAGGTGTATTTATGTTAGATGTGTCTAAAAAGTAAAAAAATTACTTAAAATATTTAAAAAATTCAGTAAAAACAAAAAAACATGAAAAATAAAAAAGTAGAATTTTCTGAAAAGTGTTTTTTGAAAAACAAACAAGGTAAATTGAATTATCAAAATTATTCTTTATTTTGTTAGTTATTATTAATATAAGATTAAAATTTATATCATGTTATTTAAATTAAATTTTAATTTATTATCATGATTAAATTTTGAAATTTTTTATAATTTTTATTATTTATATATAATTATTTAATGGAAATAAAATGATGTAATGTTGACATGTTGTGAGAGAGAGAGACAGATGGACTGAATCAGTTTCTTGTCTTTTGGGAAATTAAAGGGTGACCAGTCTGTAAAGACTAGGGGTGAGTAGTGAATAATAAATGAAAAATGCTTGGGAGTATTAATTAGTGCTCCCACTAATTAGGTGGCAGTGGGTCTCGCCATTAATGATGTGATATTTTAGTTTTGAAATTGTATTTTTTTTATTTTTTTTATTTTTTTAATGCATTAGTGCTATTAGTGGTGATATTTTTAGTAGGATGAATCATTGTTGATAATAAATTGATCGAATCGAATCAATCTTATATATTTTTTACAGATGCATGATAATGAGTAAACAGTTGTGGATTGATTTTTTTTAATTTACCTAGTTTTGATTGAATAGCGGATTTGATATTTCTTTGAACACAACCGAACCGTCAAACTGCAAGCACCTTTAATAATTTGTAAGATTTTATGTTTTTAATTTATTTGTATATATATATTTTTATTTTCAATTGAAAAAAAGTTTAAATATTCTATTGTGTTTTCAATTTGGAAATCTTTTTATCAAATAGTAAGGCCTCGTTTGGGAACAGGCTAATTTAGTAACTTTTTGGCTATTTGGCTAAAAAAGTAGATAAAAAAAACTTATATGTTTGGGATGACTTTTTGGCTAATTACGAAAAGATGTGCAAAAAGTAGAGAGAAAAGAGAATCTTTGACTTTTTGGTATGAGTTGTTGGCTTTTTGGCTAAAAATGTAACTTTTTGGCTTTTTGGCTAAAAAGGTAAGTCCCCAAACGGGGCCTAAGTATTGATATTTAGTATTTTTGTGTAGAAAATTTAAGGCTTAATTTTGTCATTTTTATATAAAAAAAAATCCAATTAAATAGTTTTTACATAAAAAAAAATAATGAAATAGTTTTGACAATACATGATTTTTTTATACATATTTATTATTTGTATTTGACAATTTGCTTGATAATCTTTTGGTTATATTGAGTTGGTTTGTTATATAAAAAAAAATGTTGACAAGTTGTTGTATTGTGCTCAAAATTTGTAAAAGTTTAAACCGCTAAACCGATTCGTATCCATCAACCAATCCGCATCCATCAATTCAGCGGACGAATGCAGATTGATTTTTGTTAATCTGCCAATTTGATGGACAAATGACGGATTAGAGGTTTTCCGATCTCAACCGAACCGCGAACCCTAGTAGCGACAATGGAGCCTATATGGAGACTACTGTTTTTGGTCGTGGTGTAAAGCGTGGCCTTTTCTAGTTATTTGTTTGTATACTGTAAGAGACTTTTTGTGTACAAGCATAGAATAATCTTCTCGTATAATCATGTTTGTAAATCATAATATTATAACGTAGCGGGAAAAACATTTAGACCATACCTTTAGGTGATAGAACCTCGCGGGTAAATTACGTGCTTCCAGAATCTAAACAACGAACCCAGCAGTGGAGTGATACTACAAAATAAGTATCACCCACACAAGTCACAGTGCAAAATGGCTTGATCGTTGTTTAACGGGAGAGAGTCAGAGAGAGAGTCTGGGAAAAAAGGTTATGGGCAAAAACCACAATACGTATCTGATATATCAATATATTATCTAAAATATATAATTAGATATATAACCACCAATATCTATCTATCCATCTATCCATATCTATTGATATGATAGATATAGATATCCTGAATGATTATCCAAATACGTTTTGAATTAAAATTCAAACTTACATGGATAAGGTTCAAAAGGTTCAGGTTCAAAAGGTTCAAAGGGTCATGCTGCATGGGTGCCCAATTTCTAACATCTCCCACTCGCACATGAATTGGCATGACACTGCCACATCTCTATCTCAATGTCTCCAAAAAATGAACAATTTCATACTAGCCAATGCATCGTGCGACTACTGAGAACACCTGTATGTGGGAGCTCTATACTAGAAACTCAAAATGAGCCAGTATAGAGACATCAATCTAAAAAGAATAGAAATAGTGTTTCATATACCCCAGACCCATCTAATTACACCGGTCCAAAAAAAAACATCCTGAATCCCTCAAAAAG